GATCCCAATGTCCCTATATGTTAAACATTATGTTAAGTAGGGCTGCTACTAACGATTGTGTTCATTACTTATTACCCTATTGTTTTGTAAATGAATCAACTAATCATTTTGTCTATAAAATGTCTACATTTATGAACTAAAATAGTGAAAACTGTCCATCACAACCCAGAGTCCGAGGTAACTCTTCAAATGTCTTGTTTTGTAAGCCCAGCAGTCCTAAGATATTCCATTATCAATAACACAGAACATTGGAGACGCTGGAAGCAAAGGATGTTTTGAGTTTTTTCCTAAAAATAACAATGATAATCGATGGTCAAAATAGTTTAAAAATCATTTTTTATCATTGTCTAATCGATGAATCGATTAATTGTTGCAGCTCTAATGTTGATTTGACTTGCTTGTTTTTAAGTCTGTTTCATGCTGTAATTGTTGACATTTGATCTCCTCTCACACAGGACACACACCATCACAAAGAAACCAGAAATAAACAATTGTTTTTTTGGCTTTTTGCATCCATGCATTTATTAATCATTATGCAAAGAAAGCTCATGCTGCAGTCTCCGTCATCTTCTCCTGCTGTTTATCGGTATTTCTCAGACAGGGCCAGAGCCAAGGCAGCCAGGAACTTATCCATAGCCACATGGACCTCAGGGGTGAAGTCGCTGGGGAACATGATGGCCAGGACCACGAGGATGTTGTGGGACAGAATCTGTGAACAGAGGACAATCACACAGATGTTACATAACATCACACATCTGTCACAATGCTTTGGCTGTAACATTTTAATGCTCAATACAATCCTCATATGCATAGGCCTGTTTGAACAGTGACAGGTGTATCTGAATGAAACAGCATTATCTACACAACACATAGAGACATGCATGCATGGTGAAAGCAGAAGGACCTGTTGCAAGTCTGGAACCCCTTAATGTCCTAAGTTTGCGCAACACTTCATACAAATTACAGGCTATTATCTTTTAATAACTTAGGCTCTGCACCTTGAAGTTAGCAGGGTCCACACGCAGAGTGAAGGCATGCAGCTCACTGAGGCCCAGAAGACCTCCTTTCAGATCATCGATTTTGGTCACGGCATCTGCAACTCCAGCCATCACAACTCCACCGTGCTTCCTCGCCTGGGGAGAGGTGGGGCTCAGGTCCTTCCAGTGGGAGAAGTAAGTCTTGGTCTGCGGGTACACCACCAGCATCCTGGGTAAGAAATGTGAGTAAATTAATAGGCAAGTAAGAAATACACTGATTTTAGAAAAAATAACGAAGACTTCTAGGAACAGGTTACATCAGTCAGTTTGGGCTCATATTTACCTGGAGATAGCATCAGCGCCGATGTCCTCCGCCTTTCCAGACACTTTGGCCCAGAAGGCTCTGACTGTGTCCTTGTCCTTAGCCGAGAGACTGGTCATGTTTCCTTGGTTTGACTATAGCTGAATGTGGTGATGAGCCCAAACCGTGGGGGTTTTATGCTTGAAACAGAGTAGGGGCACACCCAGGACCTCCTCCAAGATAGGCTGCGAAAGGCGGTCCAAGTGATGGGCAGCAGTTTGTATGAGATAAAAAAAAAATCTTCCCAGGGTGGCTCATGAACCAAACCTTGAATTATCAATGTCTTGGTGATTGTAGGCAAACATGTACAATTGCAAGTGTTATATGAGCAGGTCAATGCATAAGGATCCAGATAGGCCTAATGTAGTTTAATGGATCGGTCAAAATTGACCCTTTCAGCATTTACTCCAGAAGAACATGTTCACTCATTACCCACAGATGAAATAAATAATAATATTAATTTTTGTGTCTGAATACAGTTATTATGGGTGGTATGACAGACTGAATCCATTTCTTAGTTCAAAATGTTCAAACGTGGAGAGACCAAGCAGGCCTACTTATAACAGATTTTAAATCCAGGCTCTGCAAGCAAATAATATTAATAGATTTGTTAATCAGTTGGAAGTCTTCCAACAGATGACTAAAGTATATTTTTGTGTTCCTGCTAATACATGTTGTGTTTCAAAGGCTTATCTAACCCACTACACTGGAAGGGTGGATCCACTCAAAGAACAAATAGATAAGCTGTTTTCCAGCATGTAGGTTCAGCACATATCTAGTAAGAAGTAATAAGTTGCAGCCTTAAACAAATGGAAATTGTTTTGGAAATAAAGGCTTCTGGATGTAGACAGAGTTAAGACATAAATGAGGCCACACGTTTCATTTTGTTCAAGATCACGATTAGTCTGTTAGGTGAGTTCACCTGCTACCTTGGGCAAAGAATAAAGCTAATGTAAGAGAAGTGATCTATCATTTATCTCTGTGTAGACACTGTCTCACACAAATAGGCAATACAGCAAGTGGCACCATTTAAAACATGAATATTGTCACTGGACAAATATAGAGATAACTGTGCTGAACCACTACCCCCAAATTAGTTTGTGTTTCAGCCTCAGAAACAATCTAAGGGGTGCAGATATCCTTATCATTGCTGCAGATCCACAGTACTTGTCCACCGCCCATACAATCGCACACTTCAGGGAGGGGAGCAGGTTTGCTTTAAAAGCTGCATCTGGTGGCCGTGAGCACAGGATCTACAGACCCATACAGGACAATCTAGAGCCAGCAAAATGGTTGAATGGACAGACTTTGAGCGCGCCACCATCCAGGACATCTTCTCCAAGATGGACTATGAGGTGGTGGGCCCTGCAGCTCTTAGCAGGTGAGACGTCCTTGTTTTGTTTTTTGCATTAACAATGTTTAAGGATTATTATTCATGTACTGTATGCACACATGTTCATTTTCTTGGCACACAGAGTTCATATCTTCATCTAAGCCTGTAACATAACTTTATGTTTTGACATGTTTCCTCAGGTGTCTGATCGTCTACCCCTGGACTCAGAGGTATTTCGGCAGCTTTGGAAACCTCTACAACGCCGCTGCTATCACTGGAAATCCGATGGTCGCAGCTCACGGGAAAGTTGTCCTCCACGGTCTGGACCGGGCTGTGAAGAACATGGACAACATCAAGGCAACCTATGCCGAGCTGAGTGTGCTGCACTCAGAGAAACTGCACGTGGACCCTGACAATTTCAAGGTAATGCTACAAGGATTAAATTAGACTGGACTAGTTTTTCATATTCAGCTATTAATAAAAAGCACCCCACCTTTCATGTTGTTGATATTTTCTGATGCTTGTTGTGTTGCAGCTGCTGTCTGACTGCCTGACCGTTGTGGTTGCTGCTCAGTTGGGCAAAGAGTTCACAAGTGAAGTCCAGGCAGCTTTTCAGAAGTTCCTGGCTGTGGTGGTGTCCTCCCTGGGAAGGCAGTACCACTAGAGAGCTGCAACAGAAGACCATCTCATGTGGATCATTTGTTGAAAAGCTCTTTGGTTTTGTCTGAAATCAAATAAAACACTTATCAAATTCAACAAGCTCTTTGTCTGTGCTGATGTCCAAAATTAATTAGATAATGACAATACTAACTAATTTTAATTTTGCATAGTCCATTCTGTTAGAGTTCATTAGGTCACAACATCACTGAATATCCAGATTATTATTCAAAAATAGTAATCATGATTAGCACAACAACAACACTACTACTACATCACTAAAAAAATATTTATGATAATAATAAAAATAACAACAACAATCTGCTTTGATTTAAAACATATAGCATTGTTTTAATTTAAAAACACAAAATATGAAAAATCCAGGTATGACTAATGATATATCTAATAAAAAATTTAACATATGTTATGTTTTAGAAAATATAATGACAACAATAAGAAAAAAAATGTATGTGTATAATGAATGTGTTCATCTCTGTGTTGAAATGTCTTTGTTTTTGTCTCAAAAGCAAATAAAACATTTAGCAAATTCAACAGGTTGTTTGTCTACAAATATATAAACAGATGTAAAAATGAAAAATATTGTATTTGTGATTTAGACAATACTCAAGACTGACCTTTAGACACATGAAATATAGAGGGGAACAATAGTGCTGATGAAATGTGCTAAAAGTGCATAAATTATTATTGATGTTATAGTTACAGAGGAAACAAAGGGCAGGTTGCCTATCTGTACTTCAACAGCTCCGCTCATGATGTGGCTTTTGGTTCGTCACTTGAAGAGATAAAAAGAAAAGTAGAATTTAAAGGAAAAAGCTGACTACATGTCAGGTTTACTATTTTTAAAGTCAGCGATTTCTTTCAGGATGTTGTCCTTGGGGTCTTCTGTTTCATGACCAATTTATCAAATATTTGAATAGTTCATCTTTTTAAAAATAATAATAACAATAGGCTTAACTGACGGTAATTCCTTTCTCATGGCTGATAGTTGTCACATGTAACGCTAAACAGAGAGATCCTTTATTCAAATATTAGGAGAAAACTTCTGATTTCACAAAATGAAATTTAGGATTTGAGTAAAGAGATGACTTATGTAACTATTTTATCTGTTTTATATTTTCTGTTTTTTTAAAAACATGGGGAAATATGAAAATGTTACACCTGATCCCAATGTCCCTATATGTTAAACATTATGTTAAGTAGGGCTGCTACTAACAATTGTGTTCATTACTTATTACCCTATTGTTTTGTAAATGAATCAACTAATCATTTTGTCTATAAAATGTCTACATTTATGAACTAAAATAGTGAAAACTGTCCATCACAACCCAGAGTCCGAGATAACTCTTCAAATGTCTTGTTTTGTAAGGCCAACAGTCCTAAGATATTCCATTATCAATAACACAGAACATTGGAGACGCTGGAAGCAAAGGATGTTTTGAGTTTTTTCCTAAAAATAACAATGATAATCGATGGTCAAAATAGTTTAAGAATCCTTTTTTATCATTGTCTAATCGATGAATCGACTAATTGTTGCAGCTCTAATGTTGATTTGACTTGCTTGTTTTTAAGTCTGTTTCATGCTGTAATTGTTGACATTTGATCTCCTCTCACACAGGACACACACCATCACAAAGAAACCAGAAATAAACAATTGTTTTTTTGGCTTTTTGCATCCATGCATTTATTAATCATTATGCAAAGAAAGCTCATGCTACAGTCTCCGTCATCTTCTCCTGCTGTTTATCGGTATTTCTCAGACAGGGCCAGAGCCAAGGCAGCCAGGAACTTATCCATAGCCACATGGACCTCAGGGGTGAAGTCGCTGGGGAACATGATGGCCAGGACCACGAGGATGTTGTGGGACAGAATCTGTGAACAGAGGACAATCACACAGATGTTACATAACATCACACATCTGTCACAATGCTTTGGCTGTAACATTTTAATGCTCAATACAATCCTCATATGCATAGGCCTGTTTGAACAGTGACAGGTGTATCTGAATGAAACAGCATTATCTACACAACACATAGAGACATGCATGCATGGTGAAAGCAGAAGGACCTGTTGCAAGTCTGGAACTCCTGGACCCCTAAGTTTGAGCAACACTTCATACAAATTACAGGCTATTATCTTTTAATAACTTAGGCTCTGCACCTTGAAGTTAGCAGGGTCCACACGCAGAGTGAAGGCATGCAGCTCACTGAGGCCCAGAAGACCTCCTTTCAGATCATCGATTTTGGTCACGGCATCTGCAACTCCAGCCATCACAACTCTTCCGTGCTTCCTTGCCTGGGGAGAGGTGGGGCTCAGGTCCTTCCAGTGGGAGAAGTAAGTCTTGGTCTGCGGGTACACCACCAGCATCCTGGGTAAGAAATGTGAGTAAGTGAATAGGCAAGTAAGAAATACATTGATTTTAGAAAAAATAACGAAGACTTCTAGGAACAGGTTACATCAGTCAGTTTGGGCTCATATTTACCTGGAGACAGCATCAACGCCGATGTCCTCCGCCTTTCCAGACACTTTGGCCCAGAAGGCTCTGACTGTGTCCTTGTCCTTAGCCGAGAGACTGGTCATCTTTCCTTTGTTTGACTATATCTGAATGCGATGTTGAGCCCAAACCGTGGGGGTTTTATGCTTGAAACAGAGTAGGGGCACACCCAGGACCTCCTCCAAGATAGGCTGCGAAAGGCGGTCCAAGTGATGGGCAGCAGTTTGTATGAGATAAAAAAAAAATCTTCCCAGGGTGGCTCATGAACCAAACCTTGAATTATCAATGTCATGGTGATTGTAGGCAAACATGTACAATTGCAAGTGTTATATGAGCAGGTCAACACATAAGGATCCAGATAGGCCTAATGAAAGGGTATTCAAAGTCTGAGACTGTGGGCCTCCCCTCAGACAAAGCTTGGGAAAAGGTGGACCCTCAGTTTAAATGTTTAGTTCCGCTGAATTCCTGGATGCCTATTGGATCATGATTACGTTATTTGATCTCATAGACACTCAACAATTGAGGCAAAATAGCCTAATATTGTTTAATGATGTAACTACTACTACTACTAATAAGAACAATAACAATAATAACAATCTACTTTGATTGATAAGATAAACCATTTATTTATTCATAAACCAAAAATATAAATCATCCGATTATAATAGGTAATATATCTTAGCCTAACAAAAATATGACTATACATTATATTTTTGGAAAATTATTTGGCAACAAGAATGAATATTGATGTGTGTAATAAACGTGTATATGTATGTATTATAAGCTTTTATTTGTCTCAAAAGCAAATAAAACAATTAGCAACCATTTGTTTGTCTATAATAAATAAACTGAAATAGATGCAAACATGAAAAATAATGCATTTGTAATTTTAAATATATATATTCTAGACTAACCTTTAGATACATGAAGTATAGAGGAACTATAGTGCTGATGAAATGTGGTACTAGCGTATAAATTCTGTTAAGAAAGATATTTATTATGGTCTGTTTTGTGAGAAATTTATCAAACAATTGAATATTTCAAATATATTTGAACATTTTAAGATTTGTATGAGAAGACAACTAATGTAAATATTTTTGTGAGATCTATTTTCTTTATTTATAAAACAAAACAAAACTTGCATATATGTTACAACTGATTCCAAGGTCCCATAATTGCCTCCCCTGAAACAGTTTGGTGCCCCACTGGGGAAGCCCGCTTCACACATTGAAAACCTCTCTTGAAAGCCCAGTTTATTTCACAGGATCTGTCACAATCGAAAAAAAACACATTCAGGATTTACTGCAGAAGAAATAAGAGGGCTCATTATGTGTGTGAATACAGTTATTATTGTCGGGTATTACAGACTGAAGCCCTTTCTCGGTTCAAAATGTTCAAACATGCAGAGAACAAGCAGGCCTAATATGATTTTAAATCTAAACTCTGCAATCAAATATTCTTAATAGATTTCTTTATCAGTTGGAAGTCTTCCAAAAGATGACTAAAGTAATTTTCTGTTTCCTGCAAGTACATGGTGTGTTTAAAAGGCTTATCTAACCCACTACACTGGAAGGGTGGATCCACCCTACAAAAATAAATAGATATGCTGTTTTTCCAGTGTTCACTTTCAGCTGATATCTAGTGTGAAGTTAAAAGTTTCTGCCTTACATAACTGGGAAAAAAATCAAGAAATAAAGGCTTCTGGATGTCAACAAAGTTAAGACATAAATGAGGCCACACGTTTCATTTTGTTCAAGATCACGATTAGTCTGTTAGGTGAGTTCACCTGCTACCTTGGGCAAAGAATAAAGCTAATGTAAGAGAAGTGATCTATCATTTATCTCTGTGTAGACACTGTCTCACACAAATAGGCAATACAGCAAGTGGCACCATTTAGAACATGAATATTGTCACTGGACAAATATAGAGATAACTGTGCTGAACCACTACCCCCAAACTAGTTTGTGTTTCAGCCTCAGAAACAATCTAAGGGGTGCAGATATCCTTATCATTGCTGCAGATCCACAGTACTTGTCCACCGCCCATACAATCGCACACTTCAGGGAGGGGAGCAGGTTTGCTTTAAAAGCTGCATCTGGTGGCCGTGAGCACAGGATCTACAGACCCATACAGGACAATCTAGAGCCAGCAAAATGGTTGAATGGACAGACTTTGAGCGCGCCACCATCCAGGACATCTTCTCCAAGATGGACTATGAGGTGGTGGGCCCTGCAGCTCTTAGCAGGTGAGACGTCCTTGTTTTTGTTATTTGCATTAACAATGTATAAGAATTATTATTCATGTACTGTATGCACACGTGTTCATTTTCTTGGCACACAGAGTTCATATCTTCATCTAAGCCTGTAACATAACTTTATGTTTTGACATGTTTCCTCAGGTGTCTGATCGTCTACCCCTGGACTCAGAGGTATTTCGGCAGCTTTGGAAACCTCTACAACGCTGCTGCTATCACTGGAAATCCAAACGTTGCAGCTCACGGGAAAGTTGTCCTCCACGGTCTGGACCGGGCTGTGAAGAACATGGACAACATCAAGGCAACCTATGCCGAGCTGAGTGTGCTGCACTCAGAGAAACTGCACGTGGACCCTGACAATTTCAAGGTAATGCTACAAGGATTAAATTAGACTGGACTAGTTTTTCATATTCAGCTATTAATAAAAAGCACCCCACCTTTCATGTTGTTGATATTTTCTGATGCTTGTTGTGTTGCAGCTGCTGTCTGACTGCCTGACCGTTGTGGTTGCTGCACAGTTGGGCAAAGAGTTCACAAGTGAAGTCCAGGCAGCTTTTCAGAAGTTCCTGGCTGTGGTGGTGTCCTCCCTGGGAAGGCAGTACCACTAGAGAGCTGCAACAGAAGACCATCTCATGTGGATCATTTGTTGAAAAGCTCTTTGGTTTTTGTCTGAAAATCAAATAAAACACTTATCAAATTCAACAAGCTCTTTGTCTGTGCTGATGTCCAAAATTAATTAGATAATGACAATACTAACTAATTTTAATTTTGCATAGTCCATTCTATTAGAGTTCATTAGGTCACAACATCACTGAATATCCAGATTATTATTCAAAAATAGTAATCATGACTAACACAACAACAACACTACTACTACATCACTAAAAAAAATTATGATAATAATAACAACAACAACAACAACAACAACAGCAACAATCTGCTTTAATTTATAACATATAGCATTGTTTTTATTTAAAAAGACAAAATATGAAACATCCAGTTATGAATGGTGATATGTCTTAGAAAATATAATGACAACAATAAGAAACATTTTTTATGTGTATAATAAATGTGTTCATCTCTGTACTGAAATGTCTTTGTATTTGTCTCAAAAGCAAATAAATCATTTAGCAAGTTCAACAAGTTCTTTGTCTAGAAATATAAAAATAGATACAAACATGAAAAATAATTAATTTATAATAATAAAAATTATTAATTATTAATTATTAATAAAATATATATATTAACGACTGACCTTAATCCAAATAAAATATAGAGAGGAACAATAGTGCTGATGAAATGTGCTAAAAGTGGATATATTATCTTAAAAAAGATATTCCAGATAAAAAACAGGAGCTACTGAAGATGAACCATCATTTCCTAACCTTTGATTGAAAAAAATAAACAAAATAAACAATGTCTTTATTATATAATCATTGATGTTATAGTTACAGAGGAAACATAGGGTAGGTTGCCCATCTATAGATCAATAAGTCCCCTCATGATGCTGCTTTTGAAAAATTAAAAAGTGGAATTTAAAGGGAAAAGTTGACAAAATGTCAGGTTTACTATATTTAAAGTCAGCGTTTTCTTTCAGGCAGTTGTCCTTGTGATCTGTTTCATGAACAATTTGTCAAATATTTCAATATTTCATATTTTTGATTTAACAATAATAATAACAACAATAGGCTTAATTAACGGCAACTCCTTTTCATGGCTGTCAACTGTCACATGTTAGTGAGTTACTGGGATTTTAACTAACGATTGTTTTCATTACTTATTACCCTATTGTTTTGAAAATGAATTAATGAATAATTTAGTTCATAAATGTCTACATTTATGAACTAAAATAGTGAAAACTGTCCATCACAACCCAGAGTCCGAGATAACTCTTCAAATGTCTTGTTTTGTAAGGCCAGCAGTCCTAAGATATTCCATTATCAATAACACAGAACATTGGAGACGCTGGAAGCAAAGGATGTTTTGAGTTTTTTCCTAAAAATAACAATGATAATCGATGGTCAAAATAGTTTAAGAATCATTTTTTATCATTGTCTAATCGATGAATCGACTAATTGTTGCAGCTCTAATGTTGATTTGACTTGCTTGTTTTTAAGTCTGTTTCATGCTGTAATTGTTGACATTTGATCTCCTCTCACACAGGACACACACCATCACAAAGAAACCAGAAATAAACAATTGTTTGTTTGGCTTTTTGCATCCATGCATTTATTAATCATTATGCAAAGAAAGCTCATGCTGCAGTCTCCGTCATCTTCTCCTGCTGTTTATCGGTATTTCTCAGACAGGGCCAGAGCCAAGGCAGCCAGGAACTTATCCATAGCCACATGGACCTCAGGGGTGAAGTCGCTGGGGAACATGATGGCCAGGACCACGAGGATGTTGTGGGACAGAATCTGTGAACAGAGGACAATCACACAGATGTTACATAACATCACACATCTGTCACAATGCTTTGGCTGTAACATTTTAATGCTCAATACAATCCTCATATGCATAGGCCTGTTTGAACAGTGACAGGTGTATCTGAATGGAACAGCATTATCTACACAACACATAGAGACATGCATGCATGGTGAAAGCAGAAGGACCTGTTGCAAGTCTGGAACCCCTTAATGTCCTAAGTTTGCGCAACACTTCATACAAATTACAGGCTATTATCTTTTAATAACTTAGGCTCTGCACCTTGAAGTTAGCAGGGTCCACACGCAGAGTGAAGGCATGCAGCTCACTGAGGCCCAGAAGACCTCCTTTCAGATCATCGATTTTGGTCACGGCATCTGCAACTCCAGCCATCACAACTCTTCCGTGCTTCCTTGCCTGGGGAGAGGTGGGGCTCAGGTCCTTCCAGTGGGAGAAGTAAGTCTT